GGAGCCCAGCAGGCGAGGCTGCGGTGGCCGGGAGCGGCCACTGCCCTCCAGTCTGGGTGACAGAGTGAGACTCCAACTCAAAAAAATAATAATAATAAAGTGAGGAGCTGGGTGAAGCTGTCTAAGGAGTTGGTGCTGGGCTGAGATTTGGAGTATTCAGCATTTAGAGGTTGGAGAAATGAGGGGAACCAGCAAAAAACAAAACAAACAAAAAGCCCTAGGAAGTGGCCAGTGACACAGGAAGAACCCCAGAGATACCGCACAAGGGCCTCATGGAAATACTCATTTTTCAGAAACAAAAGAGTCATTGGTCAAAGGCACGCGTATACTGTTCCCTTACAGAATACATATATGGGCTATCTGGACTACCGGAAGAAGACCATAAAAGACCTTGGCATCAGCCCCAGTACCTGCTCGTTCAATCCCGGCGTGATTGTTGCCAACATGACGGAATGGAAGCACCAGCGCATCACCAAGCAACTGGAGAAGTGGATGCAGAAGAACGTGGAGTATGTGATGAGCTCTCTATCATTCTTGCCATGCTTGAGAACTAAATGATTCAATGCGTTTTCTATGCATAGCTCAGGGGTTAGAAATATTTCAGTTATTTTAGGTCAGATTTTCCTTAAAATAAAAAGGGGGTAGCCAATTAAAATCTTTCCTCAACATCCTGGGCAACATAGCAAGGCTGTCTATCACACACACACACACACACACACACACACACACACACACACACACAAACTAGCCAAGTGTGGTGGTATGTGCCTTTAATCCCAGCTACTTGGGTGGCTGAGATGGAAGGATTGCCTGAGCCTAGGAGGTCATGGCTGTGATGAGCCGTGATCATGCCACTGCACTCCAGCCTGGGTAAGGGTGACACTTCAACTCAAAAAAATAAAATAAAAACTTTCCTCAGCCGGGCTCGGTGGCTCAGCCTGTAATCCCGTGCCTTTGGGAGGCTGAGGTGAGTGGATTGCCTGAGCCCGTGGGTTCGAGACCCGTCTGGGCAGTAAGACCTCATCTCTACAATAAATCAAAAAATCAGCTGGGTATGGTAGTGCATGCCTGTAATTCCGGCTACGTGGAAGGCTGAGGCGGAAGGATCGCCGGAGCCCAGCAGGTCGAGGCTGCGGTGGCCGGGAGTGGCCACTGCACTCCAGTCTGGTCAACCGAGTGAGACTCCAACTCAAAAAAAAACACAAAACTTTCCTCAAGTGATCAAAATCAGAGGAATTGAGGTCTTCTGCAGTAAGGAGACCCTTATTGTACATTTTCCTAGTAAGTTATTTAACAATGTGACTTGAATCTTTTCCACTAGAAATCTTCATTTATCTAAGTCAAGTTTTTCCTTTTTATATAGATTTGTTAAGTATTATTTTATGTCAGCATTATTTTATAACATCAACTTTGCTTTTTTAAGGTTGATTTTTAAAATTTCTATTTTTTCATTATTGAAGTTTTAAAATAGAGAAAATAAAAACCACTCTAACATAACCACTAACTAACACAATCATGTCACTGAATTTCCTGTCAGTTTTTTTATCTAGATATTTTCACACCATTACAACCTTGAATTTGTAAGTCAAGTTATTCTAAAGAATGTAGAATCAGGATTTGACCTTCTGTGTCTACCATACAAATGCCAGAGAGCTACAATGGCAAAATATTAACACTCAGCAAATAGTGCATGGGAGTTCATGGTATTGTGTAGGTCTGACAATTTTCAAAATAAAAAAAGTTAGGGCAAATGGAAGGTCTTCTAGAAGTCTTACTGTACAGTGAGAAGATATCTTCATCTTTAAACAGTATTAGATCCTATTTGGTCTGCGTCTGTGGGCCCCAGGCCCAATGCTCTTTTCTCTTCCATTTCTTAGGGAAAACCTCTACAGCAGCTCCTTGGGAGGAGGGGTGGCCACCTCCCCAATGCTGATTGTGTTCCATGGGAAATACTCTGCGATCAACCCTCTGTGGCACATAAGGCATCTAGGTAAGTCTTTTAGAAAACAACACAAATGTGCATTTTGTAGACCCAGTGAGCACCGTGGTGAGGAGAGGGTGCTACAGCACCAGGTTTCTCAATTTTTTTTTTTTTTTGAGTTGGAAACTCACTCCATTGCCCAGGCTGGAGGGCAGTGGCATACTCACGGCCACCCCAGCATCAACTTGCTGGGCTCTGGCAATCCTTCCGCCTCAGCCTTCCAAGCAGCCAGAACTACAGGCGTGTGCTACCACGCCCAGCTAATTTTTTTTTTAATTGTAGAGACGAGGTCTCACCAAGTTGCCTGGGCTGGTCTCGAACACACAGACTCTGGCAATGCACTCACCTTGGCCTCCCAAAGTGCTGGGATTACAGGCTGAGCCACCAACCCGGCCCAGGTTTCTCCATTTTGATCCTCCAGGTGACCTTGGACAAGTTACTTAACCCTTGGTGTTCAGATTTTGCAAATGCAGCTCATATTCTTACCTACTCAGGAGGTGTGTTTCTAGAAATGTATGAAAAGCTATTAGACTAATGCTTAGCATATAGTATGTGCTAACCACGGTTAAGATAGAACTTTTACTGTCAAAACTTTTTCACTGCCTTTATTACCCCATTGTAGTAGTCCTCAAGAGGACAAAACCAAATTAAGTAGCATTTTGGCCTATGATTTAGACAGCTGGCATTAACATTTATCCTTTAAAAAGCAGTTGTCACTCATTAAGAAAATAGAGCACTTAGAAATGTATTTTCATCAAAAATAGAGACCCCCATATATAAAACTAAAACTGATTAAATTGGAGAAATAAAGTGTCTGGAATAACGAAATAATAATAATAATAATAACAATAACAACAATAATAATAAAAAGCAGTTGGGAGGGTGTGGTGGTTCATGCCTATAATCCCAACACTTTGAGAGGCTGAGGCAGGAGGATCACTTGAGCCCAGCCTAGACCACATAGCAAAACCTCATCTCTACAAAAAAATAAAAATAAATAAAAAATTGGCCAGGTGTGATGGTGTGTGCCCATAGTCCAAGCTACTTGGGAGGCAAGGTGGAAGGATTGCCAGAGCCCAGGAGGTCAAGGCTTTGGTTAGCCATGATCATGTCACTGCACTCCAGCCTGGGGGAGATAGTCTTTGACTAAAAAAGAAAAAAAAAGAAATAGAAAAAACCGTTGTTTATTGACTATATACTATGTGAGTCTGTTAACAGTCTTTTATTCACCACACAAGTGCAAGTTTTAGGGCATTGCATGATCTCGGACAAGTTATTTAACTGGTCTGTGCCTTAGTTTCCTCAGTTGTAAGCTGAAGCTAAGAGTCTTATAAAAATTTGCATAAGGAATAAGTTACTGAATATATGTAAATTGCTTAGCATAAAGCCGGCATAGGAGACAGTCACGTTCACTCTAACATATGGCCACAACCCTTATCCAAAACCACTGGGCCAGACCTGTTTAGAAATGTTTTGGATTGTTGAAGGGTTATGTGGTGCTGAGTGGGATCTAGGTTTTATTGCCAAAGGAATTACTTTAAAACCTTTTGTTTTCAGACCTTTGGGGATTATTTTAGAATTGGAGGTAATGGGTATGGACTTACATTTACCAGGTGCCCCTCACATTGCCAAGAACTGGATGAGGTTCTGGTGAGAAAGGTGAATACTAATTCTAATTCTCACAGTCACTCTGCAAAGTTAAGTCCCTTAATCTCCTTTTAAAGAGAACAGGTTTAGCCGGGCTCAGTGGCTCAGCCTGTAATCCCGCGCCTTTGGGAGGCTGAGGCGAGTGGATTGCCTGAGCCCGCGGGTTCGAGACCCGCCTGGGCAACTTGGCAAGGCCTCATCTCTGCAATAAATCAAAAAATTAGCCGGGCGTGGTAGCGCTCACCTGTACTTCCAGCTACTTGGAAGGTTGAGGCGGAAGGATCGGAGCCCAACAGGTTGAGGCTGCAGTGGCAGGGAGCGTCACTACTACCCTCCAGCCTGGGCGACAGAGTGAGACTCCAACTCAAAAAAAAAAAAAAAAAAAAGAGAATAGGCTTAATTGAGGAAGCTGAGTTTCCATCTCCTCCAAATGATCCTGTGTAGACTGCTTCCGCCTCATTACCCCTGTCCTCCCTGACTTCCCCGGTCTTATAAGTGCACAAGAAGAGCGACACAGGGATGTTAGGGCCACTAGTGTGCTATCTGATTTGAATTATAATGTTGGGTTTACTGTCAGGTCAACTGTCAACATTTCCATGTGCAAAAAGTCCCATCAAAGTAGATCCCTTTTTTAAAAAGTGCAGAAATAGATGTGGCGCTTAGACCAATAAGGTTAGAGCACTTTGATTGTAGAACAGACTCAGAATTACATCTAATGAAATGTCTTCCTGACAAGTAGGAAGGGATTATAATCTCCCCAACGGAAAGAAGTAATTTTTCTTTATAGAATAGAGCTTACACCTGTGCTGGAGGTTCTGGAATCAGGGATGGTGTACAAAGTAAATCTGCAGAGAAATCATTTGAAAAATGAGCTGGTTTTAGTGTTTTAGATGAAGACAGCAATGTAACATTTATGGGTATTAAGTTTGGGTCTAAGCAGGTAAGCTTAAAATTTTAACAATTCATGAAACATATTTAGCTAAAAGCAACTGCACCACCAAAACTGCACGCCCCTCAGAGGTAGTTCTGGAAAGTCCTTCCAGTCACGGACCTGACATGAAGATGTCCTGCTCAGACTTTTCACATGAAGGTGCCTCTTCCCAAATGACTGTTTCCTCTGTCTAGATTCCGGTAGTTGGTCATTATTCCAACTATGCTACCATAGCTTGAAACAACTCTTCTTCTGCAAGCCAGGTTCTTTTGCTGTTGTTAATATCAAAAGCCAGAATAGCTAATCACCCTTATTCAATGGACTTTCGGTTGTTTAAATACATGTATATAATGCCAGGGGCAGTGGCTCACACCTATAATCCCAGCCCTTTGGGAGGTGGAAGCGAGAGGATTGGAGGGGTTGGAGACTAGCCTGGGCCACCTGGCAAGATCTCATCTCTACAATAAATAAAAAATTAGCTGGTGTGGTGGCACGCACCTGTAGTTTCAGCTACTTGAAAGGCTGAAGCAGAAGGATCACCTGAGCCCACCAGGTCAAGGCTGCGGTGGCCGTGAGCGTGCTACTGCACTCCAGCCTGGGTGATAGAGTGAGGCTCCGACTGAAAAAAAAAATATTTATTTATATATATGTGTGTGTGTATATAATTCCCTTGCATGGAAATAAACTTTACACTATAGAGGATATTTTAAAAAATTTTACATTATCTTAATGTAGTTCTAGAATAGGTATTCTAAAAGTATTCTAAGCAATGGCAATCCTAGGGCAAATGCATAGTCTTTTTGATTACTTATGAGGAGAACAATATTCAGATAGCTGTTGGTTAAAAAGTAGATTTTCCAGGCGCGGTGGCTCATGCCTGTAATCCCAGCACTTTGGGAGGCAGAGGCAGAGTGCCTGAGTCCAGGGGTTCGAGACCAGCCTGGGCAACCTGGCAAGACCTTGTCTCTACAATTCATCAAAAAAATTAGCCGGATACAGTGGCACATGCCTGTAGTTCCAGCTGCTTGGAAGGTTGAGGTGGGAGGATCGCTTGATTCTAGCAGGTTGAGGCTGCGGTGGCCGTGAGTGTGTCACTGCACTCCAGTCTGAGCGACAGAGTGAGACTCCGACTCAAAAAAGAAAAAAAAAAGTGGATCTTATTCTCAGTCACATTTCATATGGTAAAATTAAGACTGTTCCAAAGAAAAAGTTGCCATATTACAGAAGTGAAATGCAGAGAAACAAGAACAGCTATAGACTCTGGGTGGGAGGGAGACTGATAACTTCTTCGAGGGTAATGTGGCAATCTCTTATCAAAATTTAAAAGGCACACACTCTTCAATCTAGCAATTCTACCTACAAGATTTTAACCTATAATTTGTATACATACACTAGACATACAGAGGGCTACTCATTGCTGTGCTATTCATGCTTATTATAGGACAGAAACAACTTAAATACCCTTAATAAGGAACTCAATAAATAATTATAGATCCATTCTATGTAGTCATTAAAAATAGTAAATTCACACATACTGCTGTGGAAAGTCTCTTCAGACAGTAATTTAAATAGGCAGTGTCTAAATAAGTAAATACATAAAATAAAATAACACACAAAAAGGCAAGGTAGTGGTGTGCTCTATTTTGTCTTCGGCCTTTGGAAAAACATCTATACATATAGGTATCCAGGTAGAACATTACTAGAAGGCTTCATAGGAGACTCTAATAGTGGTTGCTTTGGAGATTTGGGGTGGGCAGAAAATTCATTGTATATAACTCTCCGATTTGTTTCCTTTTTTCTTTGTACCATAAACTTGTATTCAATTTTTAATATAAAAATTTTATTGTCTAACAAGGCTATTATTTTCCTCTAAACACAATGAAGGCTGGAATCCAGATGCCAGATATTCGGAGCATTTTCTGCAGGAAGCTAAATTACTCCACTGGAATGGAAGACATAAGCCCTGGGACTTCCCTAGTGTTCACAACGACTTATGGGAAAGCTGGTTTGTTCCTGATCCTGCAGGAATATTTAAGCTCAATCACCATAGCTGATATAACTCAATGTTTAAAATGTTCCCTGGATAAAACTGTGGAATTGCCCCTCTGTAAGCCTCCTAGAATACTGTTCTTTATGACCGTCACCTTTGGTACATATGATCCACAATATAAAAACTAGAAACTACTGTGTGAAAACTACCTTGGACCATGATAGGCACTGATTTACGTCCTCAAGTACAAGTGGTAATTATGGAAATCAAGATTACGTGACTGAAAAACACTGTTATAAAGAAATAAATCCAACTAGATACCAGTAATCAATTTGCTTAATTTTGAATGACAATTACATACAGATATTTAAAATTTCTAAATGTATTTTTCACATGCAGATTTTTTAACAGGTTGCCAATCTTGTCTTCTACTAGTTAAAATATGAATGCTTGAAAAGTAAAATATTCATAGATTTTTAATGATTTTCATCATGTATGTTATTCTACATGTAAATATAATAAAAGGTAAGTTTTAAAGGGAAAAGAATACCATTAAGTCTTGCTACAGAAAAAGCCTACAACAAGGATAACCATTCTTACTATTTTTTATTGTAAAAAACCATCAGCTTTTCAAATGCATTTAAAAAAATCTTTCAATAATATTTAATGAAAAAGTCTCATACTACCACGTACAGGATAGATCAACACCTACTACTCATCTGTCATGTTAACTGGAAACACCATTCATGATTGTATGCTTGGAAAATCTGCATTCTCTAGTGTCTGTCATAATTTAAAAGGTATTTTCCCCACTTAAATAAAAACATCTATTGTAAAGCTACAATAGTTATATACCAAAGCAATACCTAGTTACATGCTTTACACAATTCCATGAAAAAATAATTCAATTGCTCCTAATCCCTGATGCAAGGCACTTCGAAGCACCTGCACAAAATATCCATGTAAACAGCAGTACAGTACGTTGTTTAAATAACATAAATGACTTTTCCACAGTTTGACCTAGACTTAAGGAAAAATAAAATCCATCATCGCCACAGCTAAAAAGTATGTTAAGAGTCATAACAATAATTTGTTTCTCTTAGTATAAAGAGAACAACAACCATGTAACCTCTTGGAAGGACCTCATAAATGTTTTATATTGAAAAATCAGCATGCTCCCTGGGGAAGTATGAAGTCAGAATATTCAGGAGTGATTAGGGTGGACACAAATGGCATTTCTGAATACCTAGTTTTAATATTTACCAGCCCTAGTAGTCTGGACTATTTGTAGCACCATGAAAATGCATTAAAAATCACAAAGGTACATACTTCAAACCAAAACTTCCCATGAGGTTCACTTAGTCCATAGTAACAAACAGCAATGATGCAGAGAATTTTTTAAATTATCGGCTTATTAGATTTATCTAGCAAGAAAAATTCTGGATGTTTTAGTACATCTCATGTACAGAAAGCACCAATTTCAATAAGATTATCAAGCACCTCCAGCATCCTGTTGCTTAGCCTGAAAGTTCATTTCTTACCACTTGTCACGGCACATTTTAAAGCCAACGAAGATAAAATTAGAATGGTGATAGATACTGACAGAGAAATTCACCGTTCCTCTCCTATCAAATTCATGTGTCTCAAGTAAAACACAGACAAGTGACAAAATATACAAGGTTTACTGCGTCCTCAGGAACCTACTACTATCACAGAAAAGTTACTGCCTGCTAGAGGATTAATACACAGCACTGAGGAGGCCAAAGCCAGGGCTCAGCATCCTGTCAGTAAGGGCAGTCTTGCTACTGCAAGGCCATACTCCATATGTCTACAACTAAGCACCTCTCACAAACACCACTGGTAAAGCAAAGAGGTCTGAGTGTGCCCACGACTCAGGGAACTCGCAGTTACCCTTAGTTACCACTAAAAACTAACAAAGGAGACTCCACTGAGGGTTAACTTCATCTAGGAAAATCAGCACATGTGCCTCTTCTCCAGTGGTAATTATTATTAGCATGCCCTTCTTAGGCATAAAAGGGATAATGGTGCATCTAAGTTTATGCACAGTTAAGAATCAACTATAAATACTCACTCTGTTGTATTTTAAAATTACAGAACTCCCAAAAGAAAACCAATTTCTTCATAAATGAAAGAGTATATAAAAAGCTGGAATGGTGGTTAATTCAAATACAAAAACGAATATACAGCACCCTACTTTTTCCTTCCCAGCTACTTAGGTTCACACAGTTCATACTACCACACAACTGTTCTGTGCTACAGTAATACCATTAGAGTAAAATGCTAATAAAATACTTCAGTTAGCAAACGGAGGTTCTACTTCTTGACAACTGCATTAAAACTGCAGCATTTAAGCAGAGCTGAGAAACACCATTCTCAAGCATGGTTTCCTTCTTCCTGCTCTTGCGTTCCACAACGATTACTGAAGGAAGGAATCTGGTCTGTAAACGACTGAGCCATCCACTGCCCATTTGGAATGTTGGTGAAAGTTGATTCTCCTCTTAGCTCCGCGCTGTTGGCTGCTAATAGTGGAAAAGAATGTTAGTTTATGATATTTAGAAGTTTTAAAATAATCAAATGAGGAGATTTTTAACAGTTTGGTGATGAAGAATTATTATTAAAATAGTTAAGCAAGCTTCCTGAACACAATGATGAATTTCTGTTCTATTTTCTGATACAGGCCTCATGTTATTAATCCTCATTTGTTATGAAAGGAGGACACTGCAAGTAGGAGAGCTCAGAGTCCATGACATAAAGATCCTCAATAATTTACTCTCTTTCTATAAGTATATTCCCCGAATCCTAACAAAACCACTTCTTTGAAAGAAACACACATACAGAAGGGAACATACTTAGCCCATCAGAAGAGAAGCTGCAAGGTTCACCATTGCATGGATTTTCACCATAAGCACCACCATACGCTGCTTCATAACCTGGGTCATATTTTTCTTCCTTAACAGCCATCTTCTTTGCATCCTCTGTAGGGAAGGTAAAAAGGTTTTAACACTGATTTTGTACAACAAGTTTGAAAATAGCTTTATTCAGAAATCATGATAATTCTTTTTTCTGAACATTCGTACATACAAAGATACATCTTTCACTATAATTTTTTACACTCTCTGTAGCATATACTAAATTAACACAGGAATTGTGAAAACCTATTACATTTAACTTTAGGTAGGATGCAATATTCTTTAGATTTTCAATGTCTACAGGAGTGCCCAGAGCAAATGGAAGACCTTAGTAAAAGGAGATTTTAACAGTTACTAATATCCATCATCAGAACACCCTGGCTGCAGACATAATTGCTTTTTTTCTCCGGCTTAAACTCACGACATACTTTCTGTAATGCATATGTACACAAAATGAATAACAGGAGTGGTAACTGTAACATACCTTGGGCAAGCTGTAGGTCAAATGTGTACTGCACCTCTTGAACGTCCATGTTTCGTTCAATGCCTTTCAACTGATCTCGTAAGTCTTTTAGCTTAATGTAGTAATGAACTTTGTCCTGGGCTCGAGGAAACTGAGCACATCTTGCACTGGATGATGGCATTACATAGCACAGCTAGAATCATAAAGTGTTATAGTTTCAGAAATCTTACAATTCAATTGAATTCACTCATGTTGAGATTAGAAAATTTATCTTTATTTGGATTAATAACTTGATACTTAACCATGTATAAATATATGTAAAGATCAACAGAAGTAGTTGTGTTTAAGTTCAAATATGGAACATTTACTTATTAACAAGTCAATAAATAAAAAACACTGAGGCTATCCCTCCACCCCCAAGACCCTGCATTCACAATTAATAGTCATGATGCCTTTTGTGTATAAGACAATAATATCAAATGCCAGTTTGGCTGGATGCCTGTCTGAGTTGTACTATTTATATGGCTCTAAAATGAAGTTGAACTAAGATATATGAGGCAATTAGTTTTACTAATCAGGATCATGGTATGTTTATATGTCCGTTTCATAACTGAATACAAGGCTAAAGCATTTGAATTTGACAACTATATGCCATTAAATATATTTTGAAGCTGGGTGTGGTGGCATGTGCTTGTAATCCCAGTTACTTGGGAGGTTGGGGCGGAAAGATCACTTTTGAGCCTAGTTTGAGATCAGCCTGGGTGTCATGGCAAGACTATACCTCAATTAAATATAAATATATTTGAATGCAGTATGCGAGTGAGTTCCTCTCAATATTTTAGCTGAATAATATGACATCATTAAGACATTTAGCTGACAAATGTTTTTATTTCTAATAAGACTCTATGTATCCGAATTAATTTTGCAATTACTGGATCCAGTTGATATATAAATATTATCCAATGATCGTGTTTTCTTTTCATGGCATAAATTACAATGGAAAGATAAATAAAAGGGGAAATAAGCTAGAAAAAAGTCATATCTTGTTGATTTATAAATGCAATTTTAAGGACTTACAGTTTCTGTGTCTGGAATCTTATGGGGCTGAAGCCCAAATTCCAAGTTCTTAACCTTTACTCCAAAAACTTCTTTACTAAAAATTTCATAAATACCTAAAATGAAATAGAAACATATTTACATTGCTCATAATGTTAGCACAGAAAAAAGATAAAATTTAAAAGTTTATCTTACATTTTCCATTAAACACTGCTATTCGTGGCTGATATTTCTGTAATTTCTGTACTAGAATACGTCCTCCTTCACGAAATTCTTTACTAAAATTGAATTAAAAAGTAGTCAAAAATATAAATACGGCAGTATTTACAATGTCCTAAATTCAGGCAGCTTTCAATAAAAGACCACATCATACATTTATTGAGCTCAGCTTCAACTAGACACACATGATGTTCCTAGCATTTATGAGGCACCAGCATGGTCAAAGTTTCAACCCATAAACATAGATGCTGTGTACTTACCTGGACAGATCTTTGCTGCCTGGTGTCGTCCTCTCCACCATATTGGTAAATCCAATACCGTACTTCCCAGGTAAAGTGTGATCATCCATATGGTCAGCTGAACTTCACTCAGCCCTGACATAAACAAACACTTCCCTGTGAAAGGAGAGTTAAGTTTATTTCTGAAGATGGTCAAAAGCTTTTGCCCAAAGAGTTGGTAAGGTAGTCGATATCCTATTCTTGAACTTAAAAAAAATTAGGATATTTAAAATTATAAATACCATGTTGAGCAATTACTGTGTGTTGAGTGCTATGTTAAGCCCGCTACATGGATTGTCTCTCTTTTTTTTTTTTGAGTTGGGGTCTCACTGTCACCCAGGCTGGAGTGCACAATCACAGCTCAACTGTGGCCTCGACCTCCTGGGCTCAGGCAATCCTTCTGCCTCAGCCTCCTGAACAGCTGGGACTAGAGGAGTACACCACCATGCCCAGCTAAGTTTTTTATTTTTTGTAGAGATGAGGTCCTGCTATGTTGCCCAGGCTGGTCTTGAACTCCTGGGCTCAAGCAATCCTCCTGCCTCGGAGACCTCACAAAGTGTGTGATTACAGGTGAGAGCCACCATGCCCAGCCTATCTCGTTTAATCATAACGATCTTATGAGATACTTTTACTGTGTCCTTTCACAGAGGTTAAGGCAAATGCCTGTCTGAGAATACACAGCTACTCTGTATAGGAAATTCTGAAACCATTTGTCTTCCTTCCCACTAATTGGTGGTGCCACCACCTGCCCCTGAATACCTCATGGATCAACATATAGCAATAGACTAAAAACCCTCAAACACCTTGACAGTGAAGAAAGTTAAAAGTTCAAACTTCCATAGGAAAAAAATGTTTTAAATAATAGAGAAAACATGCTATTAGTTTCAAAAATGCACTACTTTCATTTATCCTAAATTTCTTTTTTTTTTTTGAGTTGGAGTCTCACTCTGTTGCCCAGACTGGAGTGCAGTGGCTGCTCCCGGTCACCGCAGCCTCGACCTGCTGGGCTCCGGCGATCCTTCCATCTCAGCCTTCCAAGTAGCTGGAAATACAGGTGCGTGCTGCCACGCCCGGCTCATTTTTGATTTATTGTAGAGATGAGGTTTCACTGCCCAGGCGGGTCTCGAACCCGCGGGCACAGGCAATCCACTCACCTCAGCCTCCCAAAGACACGGGATTACAGGCTGAGCCACCAAGCCCGGCTTATCCTAAATTTCTTAATGTTGTTCTTAAATAATTCACTCAGTATTTCCTGAGGGCCTATTGCATGCACATACCTCTTAGGTAATGTTAGGTAAGATGATTTATATACACAGGGCAATGCAACATCAGTTAGACTTGGTTTTAAAGCTGACTCTCAAAGTATAAGTCTTTAATACTATTTTCTGCTCTCCTAGGAAATAAGATCAACAGAAATCTGGAAAAGTCAGTATTCTGTACTACCACAAATATATACTGTTATTACCATGATGCAGATAATAATTTTTATAATTTTTCAAAGTAGTAAAATCATTGAAAACAACTCAAACAAAAGAGAAAGTACTCCTTTTCATGTCCTTCCATTCTCATACACCAAAATATTAACATATGTCAAACCTTTTATTTTCATGTACATAGACACATACACAACACAGAGAGAGAGAGAGAGAGAGAGAGAGAGAGGAAACATGGGATATGAACATATGTTTACAAAATGTTTTCAAAAATACAAAAAAAATTTTAAAATACAAAACAATCTATTAACAAAGAAATCCAATTTAAAAAGTAAATTAATTTAAGAAGTAACCACTTACAAAAATGGTTTCCAGGTCCAGGGTAATGATGTCCTTTGTAAGCAGCCATTAGTCCCGGGTTTATGCCAATCTATAAAAGAAAATAATTAAACATTTTAGTCTTAAAAAGTAGAATGTAAGCCTTAGGGCTTCTATGAAAAAGTGGAGGACAAAACTGAATTGATTAAAATACAAATTTAGACCATTTCTTTACTAGATGTGGCCGCTGCCATATTTCCAAAGCTTTGGTTCCCTCTTCTACCTTGGAGAGGTGAATCTCCTCTTCTCTCTCCCTCTCTTATATTTACTTTCTAAATAAACCATATTTTTCAAAATACAAATTTAATCCAGCATCATAAACAATATCATTTATCAGTGATCTGAACAACCTATTCCACATAGAGGAAGGAGATTTCCTTTACAGTAAAAGTTTTGCTGTTGTTTTAAAAAACCAGTCTGACTCCCTCATGACCACTGGCCCCCACTCTCACCAACTAGGCTGCCTTCAATCTGGAAGAGAGAGGTCCAGCCTGGCGTGGTAGCTCACGCCTGTAATCCCAGCACTTTGGGAGGCTGAGGCGAGAGGACTACCTGAGCTCAGGGGTTCGAGACCAGCCTGGGCAACTTGGCAAGATCTCATCTCTACAACAAATAAAAAATTAGCCAGGTATGGTGGCTCCCCCTTGTAATTCTAGATGCTTGGAAGCCTGAGGCAGAAGGATCACTGGAGTCCAGCAGGTCAAGGCTGTGGTGACCATGAGCATGCCAGCCTGGGTTAGTGAGACTTCGACTCAAAAAAAAAAGAGAGAGAGAGAGGTCCAAGAGCAATCAATCAATCTAAGCCCACATCCAGCCAAAGTCCAGTTCTCAACTTCCAAAAAGTTGTTCACATGTTTCTTAGTTACTGACAAAATAAACGTTCAAACAACAATGCTATCATTTATTGAATCCTCACAGGTATCATGCAGTCTAAGTGATTCACATGGATTATTTCACTTAATTGTAACCCTGTGAGGGAGGCATTATTATCACTGTGGTTTTTCAATGAGGAAACTAGTGTTTTAAAAGGTTTGTCCAAGGTCATCCCCATGACCAGAATTGAATGCAGACAACCCCAAGCTGGAGCCCACCTCTTAAACACTCCCAAATAACACAACCTCAAGAAGGTAGCACCATTTACCACCAAAAGGGTTCTTATAAATGATTCTCTAGAGCAAAATGCTATTTGCAAAGACAGCTGTTAAGTAAAGTTAATCCCCCAATGCTATTTATAAAATCAAATGAGGACAAAAATCCTTACAATGACAATGTCCAGGTTGAAAGTCAAAATATCAGGGAGAGTCTTGGTCAAAAGTTCAGCCTCTGAAACACCATTAAAACGATCTACTTTTCTTTTCACTTTAAACGTGTCTGTAATTTTTTCTTGCTTTTCTTTTGACTTTTTGGACTTGCCAGATTTTTTTGATTGAGCAGGCTTTTTGGGTTCCACTGGTTCTTCTGGTTCTGTTGTTCTGGGTTTTCTTTTCCTTCGTTTTGGAGCCTCTGAAACACAATGATTCCAAAAGGCACAGGCAGAAATCCTTAACTTAGAATTTCAGCTTTCCCAGGAAAGTTCCCTAGTAATACCCTTTTACCCCTCTCCACCAAACGAAGCTCTTATTTTTCCAGGATCAGTCTCCTCTGCAATTACTTCCCCTTTCACGCTAGAACTGGGACAGGTCCTACCCTGCCCTCCTTCCCAGGCTAGCTGTTCTTGGGCAGAACCACCCATGATAATCATAGATGGATTTTCCACACCATCTTACTTGGCATCTTGGCCTCCCCAGGGATAAAGTATCTATATACCATTTAATAAGATTCTAAATGTAAATATATACATAATAAGTAAATATAAGGACATACAGAAAAATAGGAAGGGAAACAGTATAACTCAATTTCCCAATAACTTACAGTAGAAAACTTCAAAAGGCTTGTGGGTTTGTTTTAGAGATTATGAGGTATATTCTGTTCCGCATGTAGTCAAAGAGGTAAATTTAGAGCTGCTGCTGATGAAATCTCTGGGCTGGCAGTATTTTTCAAAAGGCAAGACTAGGGACCTGACCTCAGGACCTGAAGCAGAGTTTTCAACCTCCACACCACTGACAGCTTAGGCTGAATAATTATTTGCTGTAGGTCACTGTCCTGCGCATTACAGAATGTGTAACAGCACCCCTGGCCCCCATCCACTCCATGCCAGGAGCAGTCTGTCAGTCTCGACAATCAAAAGTGTCTCCAGACACTGACCTAAAGTTACCCCACAGGAAGCCTTGGTTTTCTTTCCCTTAATTATTTCTCTCCTAATTTCTCAGGCCTCTAACCCATCCTATTCCTATCTGGCTTTGTGCCAACCAAGCCTGGCAGGATCAAGGTAGGCTTTCCTCTCTCCTGCCTCACACTGCTTTGGCCACTCCCTATGCCAAGGGGTCTACCATCATTGGCTTGTATCTGGGAAGCCTGAGTGCAGAGACAAGTTAGGTGTGTTCCTAGAATAAAAAGTCTCGAGTATTTATTCTCACATAAATACTGCTATGCTAGAAAAAAAATCATTACCTTCTCTCCATTCAGCCCCACAATCTATTTTCGTCTTTTAATTATCTTGGTGAATGGTATCTCCTTCAAAGAACTACCTATGCCAGAAACTGGGTGTTACTACTAGACTCCTCCTTCTCCCTCGTCCCCATATAAAACCTGTTACCCAGCTGGGCTTGGTGGCACAGCCTGTAATCCTGCGCCTTGGGAGGCTGAGATGAGTGGATTGCCTGAGCCCGCGGGTTCGAGACTCACCTGGGCAACTCGGTGAGACCTCATCTCTACAATAAATCAAAAAATTAGCCGGGCGTGGTAGCGCGCGCCTACAGTTCCAGCTACTTGGAAGGCTGAGGCGGAAGGATCTCCAGAGCCCAGCAGGTCGAGGCTGCGGTGGCCGGGAGCGGCCAATGCACTCCAGTCTGGGCGACAGAGTGAGACTCCAACTCAAAAAAAAAAACAAAAACAAACAAACCTGTTACCCATGGCTAGGTAATCCTACCTCCTGAGGACTCCTGTCTCCTTCATGCCTTTAGGTCCTCCTCATGTCTTCCCCAGGTTATGCAGTCTTTAACCCGCTCCCTGCCTCCAAGTCCTGCCTTGCTTTCTACACTAGCCTCTATAACATTTCCAGACTAAGTTTTAATAACAATCTATTGAAGTCATCCCTTGGCTTACATTCTCTAAACAATTCCCTACTGCCTTCAGAATAGGCTATACATTATACAGGATAAAAGCAAGCCTCAACTGCCCCTATCCAGCTTTGTCTCTCACCATTTCCTTGCTACATCCCAGACTCCAATCCGTTTTTTGACTGTCAATCTTCTGCATATCTGTGCCTTGGCATATGCTGCTCCCTCCACCTAGAATCTTCCCCACTGTGTTCTCATGGGATGAAATCACCTCGACCGTAGAGTTTCAGTGCTCTGGTGTCATTTCTCTGCACTGGAAAGTAGCCTCTGAGCCCTCAGTCCAAGTTAGATGCCAACCCCATAAGCTCCCACAATACCGATCCTGTGTCTAGCCATGTAGTGTGCTAAGGAGGAATGTGGGTTTACTTATCACTTGCTTCTACTAGATTATGAGATATTCAAGGGCAGGATTCATGTTCTTTTATTTCCTAGAACCTATCAAGAGTGTTTAGCACAAACTTAAAAAGTGATTAGCTGGGCTCTGTAGCTCAGCCTATAATCCCAGCACTTTGGGAGGCCGAGGTGAGTGGATTGCCTGAGCCCGTGGGTTTGAGACCAGCCTGGGCAACTTGGCAAGACCTTGTCTC